CATTCCTGTGTGATTGTTTTCAGCCTAATTGGCAGGGAATGCCAGGCTCCTCACAGCCCTTCAATCCTTGACCAGATATCCAAGCATTCCCATGTGGGAGGACAGCTTATGATCTACCTGCAGAACTGCTCCTTCAGAAGGGGTGCCCTCACCTGGGCACTGGTGAGGACAAAAACACACACAAGGGAATTAATCAGAGTGCCTCTGAGACCCAAGGGATTCAAGGCTTCTCTACTGGGGCATGGGGTTGCCAGTTCCTGGAAGGTCCCCACCTGCTGCCATTGCCCTGTTGCACAGGACTTGCACCCTGGTTCCCATCAATGACACTGTGTTTTGACTCAATATGGACCTTTCTGATAGAGCCATAAAGTGAGCAGCAAGCACTGCCTGGAACGTGACCGTGGGGTTCAGGCCATTGTAGACTAACTTCTACTTTTCTTGCCCCATTTTTCCCTTTCTTGCTTCCCCTCTCCCTCGATTCTTTTTTTCTCTGCCTCTCCCTTCTGATCCACTTGGGGCAATGTGTCACATCTGTGTCTGTGAAGGAGTTCTCTCCTCTTCTCCTGTTCGAAATTTCTGCCCTGGTAACACAAATTCAGTCAATATTTCGATGATGCAGCTGCTCTCATCCTATTAATATTAATAGGGAGTCCCACTCTCTCCTCTGGCTGATGCATACAGTGATGGGTTTACATGGCCAGGTTTTGGTAGCAGGGGAAGCACAGGGGTGGATTCTGTGAGAAACTGCCATAAACTTCCCCACTGACAAAGACAATGTCAGCTGGCTCCAAGATAAATCCACTGCTGCCCAAGGTCAAGTCAATCAGTAATGGTGGTAACGCCTCTGTGATAACATAAATAAGACAGGGAAGGAAAAAAAAACAACCCAAAACCAACCTGTGCATTTTGCAGCCAGAGAGAGAAGTGAGAATATGTGAGAGCAACAATTCTGCAGATACCCAGGTCAGTGAAGAAGGAGGGGGAGGAGAGATTCCTCTGCAACCTGTGGTGAAGACCATGGTGAGGCAGGTTGTCCCCCTGCAGCCCATAGAGGTCCATGGTGGAGCAGATACCCACCTGTAGCCTGTGGAGGACGTCACACTGAAGCAGGGAGAGGAAGGGAGCTGTGACCTTGTGGGAAGCCCATGCTGGAGCAGGTTCCTGTCAGCACCTGTGGCCCCACGGAGAGAGGAGCCCAGGCTGGTGCAGGTTTGCTGGAAGGACTTGTGACCCATGGGAGGACCCATGCTGGAGCAATCCATTCCTGAAGGACTGCACACCATGGAAAGGATCCAGTTGTCTTATCAGGCAGCAATTGGCTCCTAGGAGAGCAGCTCATTCATCACTTTGCCAGACACCATAGTGAAATTCATCCTTCTGTGCTAGAGGAAGTCAAGGTCTCCTCATACCTCTGTGCTATGCATGACATCCCAGTGCTGGGAGCTTTCTTGGTTGTGCAAAAATACACCTGAGGGAGCAGGTGTCTCTGTGCAAGGCTGAGCTCTAGGAAAGTGGCCTTCAGCTCTCCCCTGGCAGTGTTATTTCCCTTATAAAGTCTGGTGCCTTTGGACCTGGGGACTTGTGAGTTTGATTTTTGGGTGTTGAATTACCAATGTAAAGACTACGCTAATCTCAATCTGCCAAATTGAAATTCAGAAGAAAAACCCCCTAGGGTTAGCCACGTTACTTGTTCTGAATTAATTGAATGGAAAATTTTAGGGTAATGTTTGAACTCAGCTTGCAGCTCCTGACTGCGGGTTGATTTCCTGGTGATGTGGGCAGACAGGAGACATTGGATGTGCAAGAACCACTCCTGCCCTTGGCCTTGAATATGTTGTGAAGTGAGGCACAGTTCTGCCAAGGAAAGACACAGTTTTCAAAAAGGGCAGCTAGGAAGGACACAGCAGAATGGGAAATAGTGGCAAAATGGTAAGGGTCATTACCTCTTTGCCCTTGGGCAGTGAGAGACTACTTGCTGTCCACAGGGTAGGCCAGAATGTAGATGAGGGACCTCCGCACAGAGGATATGACTTCTGGCTTGGTTTCATTTTCCTGTCTAGGGTAAGTTGGTTTCTGTGGGGAGTGTGGGAATGTATCTTGGCATACCCTGAGAGGACTGTGGGAACTGAAGGGATACATGTCTGGAGATACGAAAAGCACCTGCGTAGACAAGGCATGAGAAAGGAACCTCCAACACAGCTCCACTCAGAGCAGGAGAAACTGTCTTCCACAACAGCTTGTGTAGCTTTTGACCTACTCCATGGCCTCCTGCAGGCCCCCAACTCCCCACTAGAGGTCAGAAGAAGACAGGCTTCTGACCTGCAGGATGTACTCCATGCCTGAGGAGGCATTTTCTGGGCAGAGATACAGCAAAGCAGTGCCTGGTGGCGACTGTCATTTGGGCAGCTGGAAACATCTTCCTCAGGTCCAAGAGAGCACCACCCTCTTAAAATGCAGTTTCCTGGCAGTGAGCCCCAACCTTTCTCTCAGAAAAGTGAAGGGTGCCCATGTGCCTTTATGTCATGTTGATTTGACCAGAACAAAGCTTTCGTCCCTGGCTAGCATGTGAGAACATCCTGAGAGGGAAGGACCACACAGAGGCTTGGGTTGGGTTGCAGTAGAATTTTAATGATTTAAAAGAGGGAAATGAGGTAAACAAGTGGAGGTTCTGATGCAGGAGGCACCAGATCACCCAAGAGTCTGTGCCCTGAGGCCAGGGTGGAGTTCAAAGGCATCCAACTGCCTACACCAAAAAGGGAGGGGAAAGCAGATCTCGCCAAGGTTGACTTTGGAAAAACCCATGGCCAAGGGAAGTAGAAGACAAGAGATAAAAGAGAGAGAAAACAGATAGTGAGAAGCAGGCAAGTTAGACAAGGGCCAAGTGTTCAGAGAGCCCAGGCATGCCTCTTCCTGCCTTCCTTTGCAGGTGGAGCCGTTGGTGCTCAGCCCCTCTGAAAGCCATGCCCAGGATCTCCGTGCTCAGTCCGTTTGCATCTTCTGGGTTCCTGGGGGTCCTTCTGTGGAGCCGTCTGCAGCAGCTTTAGCATGTTCTGCCGCAGTAGCGGTTGGTGATACAGGAGAGGTCACAGCACCCGGAGTTGATGGGGACTCCGTTACAGCTGAGGATGCTGCCAACGGCAGCAGAGGGGGGGGAGCCCACAACGGGGGTCTGTGGGAAGGAGCTGAGGATGGGTCCAGGCAGGGTCACCACCACGGGGGAGGGCTCAATAATGACAGTGGAGTTCTGGCACTGCCTGACACAGGGCTCGTTGCAGCTGTTGGCCAGCGGGGTTGGGCCACAGCAGGGCTGGCAGGGCAGGCATGGCCGGCACTGGTTGTAGCAGGACATCTTGTGGGGCTGGTGGTGCACCTAGGAGAGATGGCAGGGAGAAGAATAGAGGTGTGTTAGGAGCAGCCTGTCCCCCACCGTGAGGGAACCAAGGGAGTGATGGTTGGAGAGATGGAGGCTGTGCAGGAAGGCCCATGTTACTCTTTGGCTGTCTCTTTGGGCACTGTGCTAAGAGAGCCAGGCTCAGGAAAATTCTTTTCTAACCCAGAGCTCAAGAATCCCCTCATACCAGACCCAGCCCCTCTCCACGCCATACGTTCTCCCTGATTCCCCTCCTAAGACATGCAGCCCCAAGCCTCAGCATAGGACAGGTCAGGTATTATTTGTCCACTGGGACATCGCTTCATCCTGTAGGAGTCGGAGAAGAATAAGGACTTCAGACTCACCTGGTTACCGAGGATAAGAAGAAGGAAGTGGATGGGAGATCAAGGATCTGCACTGGCTTTTATACTGGTTCTGTACTGGTCCTGCACTGCCCCAGGCCCAGAGGTAGCCCTAGCAGGGTTAATAGTTGTCTGACAAGTTCTTCTGAAATGTAAGACATCCCAACTAATGATACAGGCTGTGTTTCTGTTTCCTGCCGTGTTTTCATTTCCTTGTTCATGTCCTGCTCCTTCCCTCACGGATGTTTGTTTTGAGTGCTGGAATGAGAATTCCTAAAATTTCTGGGGCAGGAACATATCATTGCGGGCAGAACACTCATATCAATTGTTGGATGGGTCCTGTACAGACTAGGGACATTGTCCTGGAGCACTCCTAGGGGGTTGTTTTCAGCCCCATTGGAGGGGAAAGACCAAGTGCCTCTCAGCCCTGCAATCCTTGACCAGATACTCAAGGGCTCCCATACGTTAGGACATGCCATGTCCTTTTCCCTCTCTCCCTCTCAGCCCTTTCTGGCTGTCACTGGTCTTTGCCTTTCTGGAGACACTGGGAACTGCACTGCTGAGTTTCAACATCTCTTTTTCTAACACCTGCCTTGGGAGAGATTTCCCAGGCTGCTTGGCTTCCTCCATTCTCTAGGCCAGGGGTCCTCAAACTTTTTAGACAGGGGGCCAGTTCACTGTCCCTCAGACACTGTCAGGGGCAGGACTATAGTTTGGGAAAAAATGAACGAATTCCTATGCCCACTGCACATATTTTATTTATAGTACTGCACAAAAAACAGGAAAAAGAATGCAATATTTAAAATGAAGAACAATTGTAATCAACAAAAACAAATAATATTCCAATGTGAACTATGGGCCTGCTTTTGGCTAATGAAGTGGTCAGTGTTAGGCTCCATATTTGTCACTGCTAGTCGTAGCAAGTGACGCAAGTGTTCATCAGTTAGTCTGGATCTGATTGGAGATTTCAGATGTTTCATTCGGGAAAACGTCTGCTCACAGACATAGGTGCTGCCAAAGATGGTTACAATTTTGAGTGCATGGTTCCTGAGATTATGATGTGTCTCTGAGGGGAGGCTGCCGACTGAGCTGTCCCGGCAGAGGAGATGCCCGCGCCTCTCGCCCGCCGCAGGGGGGCAGGTCGAGGACGAGGCGGGGGTTCCAGCCCAGTTCCGCGGGTGTTTTTTCCCCGCGGGGGGGGGGGGGGGAGGTGGCGGCGAGTTCTGTAAATACCGGTGGACCGGATTGAGGACCCTGGGGGGCCTTATCCAGCCCGCGGGCTGTAGTTTGAGGACCCCTGCTCTAGGCCATGTCTGAAGATGCTCAGTCAATCTGTGTTTTAGGCCTTGAGATGCCCTGGGGTGCTTTGGCCTTGCCAGGTTGTGCCTAGTTGAATCCATCAGTGATCATGTGTGTGGGTATGCTTACATGTATGATAGATTTCTCTGAATGCACAGCTTGGATAAATTTGCATGCGTTCCATGCAGGTGAACATGAACACACCTGTTTGTACATACACGGCTCTCATCACAACAAGGTTTAATCATAATGGCAGAGGCCCTTTCCACTTCTCTGTCCATGAGCACCACAGAGCTGCAGGTTCCCTAGGCCAGAAAGGGTCTAATTTCAGAAAAGCAGTGACAGCTCTCAGCTGGAGAGGTGTCACAGCAGCAGGCACCAAGATGCAGCCTCTGTTTCCTGTGCCCTTTTTAACCTGACCCTCAAAAGATCATGTTCTGCTGATTTAGATTTCAGAGACCAGAAGGAATTGTTTCATTCCAGTTTGGAAATTCTGTATAATGCAACATACCAACAGCTGAATTTCTGCAGCACTGCCTGTCCCTGCAGGCTAGATTGCCTCTCCTCAGTGTTAAGGAGTTCAAAAAAACATTAGCTTTGTGTCCAGGGAGAAATGCCGAGAAATCCTGCCCACCTTGTACAGGGAAACCTTGAGTGGATCTTTTTCCAGTGCTGTGTTGGTGGTGTCTGTCTCTATGGAGACAAGAACTTAAGTTACACAGAGCAAGGAAGGCAGGACAGATGGAGACCATGGCCAAGCAGGCAGCAGAGGGAGGCAGTCAAGGTGGGGAAGGCTGGAAGTTGGTGACTTTGCAATAGAAAAAAGGCTCCTGCTCCACGTGCTGACTTCAACTTCAGAACAGATGCTGTCGCCTGGAATCAGGGAATTTATCACAGGGAGCTATGTGCAAATCATTTTTCCTACACAAAGGGCAAAAAACCTGTGATATCTTTAGGAGACTCCCTCTCTTAGGAATCTTAAGCAACCGTCTGCTAACCTGATCTGATGTCACAGGAGATTTCTTGTTTACCAGAGGGCAGATGCAATATTTTGCAGAGGGACTGCCAAGTTTGTCCTACCTTTGGAGTATTATCCTTTGCTGCTCTTTGATGTGGGCACCAGTGATGGTGCCCAAAGTGTTTCTAGAGTGATTACAGATCTGTGGGGTGAAGCAAGGGTGTGAGGGCCTAAACTGGAAAGGCTTGAGTAGAAAAGAACTCATCCAGCAGATAAACACCTGGGTGCATGCTTTGTATTGCAAGCGGAACTTTGGTTTTGACTGGCAGAGAACTGTCTTTGATGAACAGGGATGACTGATCAGGGATGGAAAATAATAGACAAAGTCATGCAACAGAGTCTTTGTAGTCATGCATGTTAACAAAGAGAGAACTCTAAAGTAGGTACGGAAGGGTAGGTTCATCATAAAGGAAAGAGAAGTGAGAGTACAAGGGGTAGAACAGATACCTAAAAAACTATGCCCATGTCCTGATTCTGGTACTGCTCTAGTCTTAGTTTTAAAACGTATTGGCTTTAAATGAAAATAGGACAACCAGCTTGTCCCTTCCCCACACTTTGGCAGCTGAATACATCACAATGAACTGTTGTCAAAGAAGTTACTCCATCTGAGAAATGCTCCTCATTCCCAACAACTCACAGCTTTATTCTGACAATTCACTCTTACCTCTGAGGGGTAGTGAAGGTGACAGAAGGGTTTGTGTGACTGTTTGTACTACTCAGCTGTGGGATACACAACGTGGGTCATTCTGTGTGATGGCAAATGTCCTGTACTCTCTGCAGACAAGTACCACTTGTAAATTGAATACTGAGGAGTTGTGCTTAGAACCGTGCTAGTCATAACTAGATGTCTCTGGAGGTTTCACTCCTTTGGCTAGCAGTCAAACACAGTTGCTCTCTTACTTCCCCGCCCACCCCGCCAGGGTGTGGGGGAGAGAATTACAAGGGTAAAAGTGAGAAAAACTCGTGGGTTGAGATAAAAACAATTTACTAATTGAAAGAAAATAATAACAATAATGATAATAATAACAGTAATAATAACCTATGCAAGTAAATGCACAGTGCAATTCCTCACAGACTAGCTGGCAGGCAGGAGATACACAGGATGGGTAAGAGAGCTCAGGATCTGAGCAGAGTCTCAGACAGACAGAGAGGTCATGCTGATATTCCAGGCATCCATGAATGTGCATGTGATTGTGAATCTAGAGAGTGGGGGCATGTGTGCTTTTGCTAGTGAACTTTAGTCTTTATTAGCTGGAGAGGAGGAAGAGGACTTGGCTGTCTATGTGTTTGGTGTGAATTCCAGTGATGTTATATGTGGGTGTTGCCAAAGGTGATGCCTTGTCTGTGGCAATCTGTGGCCCATCCAGAGTACCTAGAAGAACAGCTTTTCCACAGTGGAATGAGAAGATGACTCAAGGCTCCTACTGACCAGGTTGCATACAATGATTTAAAGATGCACAACCCCCCTAAGGAGACCTAAAGGCTAGCACCACTCAGCCCTGCCCCTGTTAAAATATGGAATGTTTTTTACCACTCATTAAGACTTGGAAGATTAGTCATTCCCATGTGGCTAATAAGGGAGCTTTTCCAGTTTTGTTGGTTTGTTTGTTTTTATTGGCAAGGGAGATGGTAAATGGGAGGATTTTAATAAGCTCTCAAGACAATGGCATTTTTTTCTGTCTTCTTTTGTCTCAGCCTTTGCCTTTTGTTTCTAGTAGAGGCAAGACATTGCAAATTCAGTGGATCAAGGTGCCTTTGTATTTACCTCGGGTGAGAATCCTCTGAGTCCAGATATCTAGTGAACTTTTCACCCACCTTAAACTCCACTTTTCCAGATTGTATCTCCACAGTTTGGCTATAAGAATAATCTAGGCGAGAGGGCAAAAAGTGTTGGTAACGCCAATGTGAACATAATGTCCACTGATCTAGTTGAATGGTGTGAACCAATTTCAGTTTAACATCCTGAGTGAAGTAAGACAAATAAGTAGCATCAGAATCATGGAAGCAGACCTCATCTACTTCAAGGATCTATTTGTCAGCATATAGGCTACCCAGGAGGAATACAGAACCATTTACTTTACCACATCCCTGAGCCCTGGGCAGAATCTGCATGAGGGAAGCATTACTCACAGAGAAGAAGACTAAGATAAGGAGCACACAACCCAACCAAATTAGGTCTACACAAGTTCAGGGAAGCACATGGGATGCGAGGTCAATTTTTTACCTTATTTAAAAACTGGTCATATCTTAGGATAGGTCTAAAACATCTTAAGTACTACTCACATTCTTCCTATGAAAATGAAACCTCTCACCATCCAACATTAACTCCCATAAATAAGTAAATGGTGAAACAGAGATTTGTGAGTGTTCCAACAAAGAAAAGGCCTTCTCTACCTGATTGCCCCATACTCCCAGGACACACTGCAGAAAGAATGAAGTGCTCTGAAGGCATACCATGTGTCACCTGCGTTTAGCACTGATCTCCAGGTGGGAGATCATATTCCAGTTTATGTCAGAGGACTACTGATTGAACTGATGTGGAATTGTCTGCAGCCCTCAGTGTTCTGCGCTCATTTGTGCCTCAGGTCCCTTAGACATTTTAGATCCTGTTTTTGATTGCTCTCTGGGTCTGAAGAGGGCTCTAGCATTCAACAGGTAGAATTCACCCCCAAATGAAACATTATCCCAGCCAGGAAAGTAAACACACACAGACAACCCAGCGCAGGTGTGATCCAGTTCCAGTGGGCTTTCTAAAGCATTTCCACAGCTACC